CATTCCTTTTTCCAAAGGAATTATGTCAAGCTTCTTCTCCACTGAAGATGAAGTTGTTCCATAGAGATTGCCTTAATCCCAATACTGTAGTAGATGCAGCCATCCTGTGGAAGAGGTAGAGTAGTATAGTTGATCTTTGTCCTCCTGACCCATTAATTTGGACAAATTCATGGAAGGTGGTGTTCTTTCTGGCTGCCAATCAGACTAGAAGCTCCCAGCCGTGCTGGAGACGGTATCCCTCCATCTTCTGGAAAGCAAAAGTGGCAGGGTGCTGCTGTTCCATATATATCCGGTTTATGGATAATCCCATAATTGTCACAACTGCCCACCGTGTGATCAGAATGCTAGAGGAGATCATTTTGGTCTGACCCCACATATTCTTCTTACACTCTTACTAGCTTGGTTGTTTTGATTGTTTCCAATTCAGTACATGGACTTGAGTAAGCTTCAGAACAATGGAACGATGACAACGCTATATCCACGGCCATTTCTTGATGGTTACCTGTAAAGGCAGCAATTCACTGTTTCCCTCAGTTGCCCCATATGGAGTCTTATCTTTCCTACTGTTTAAACCTCTTTGGTTAATGCTTGAATGATCACTAGGTCACTTCACTTGGTGAATGTTATCCGGCATCACTCCTTCCTTACCATCAAGTGTTTAAAAACTTTAAAAATAAATCCAGAGCAAATTTCATTCTGACTCCTATAGAATGATTGTATGGCATTACTGCAGGGAAGCAAATGCCTTTCTACAGTATAATTTTTTTGTCCTTCCTTCCTTCCTTCCTTCCTTCCTTCCTTCCTTCCTTCCTTCCTTCCTTCCTTCCTTCCTTCCTTCCTTCCTTCCAAGGATCATGCACTACAAATTACATTTCCCCTCAAGCAGGGATATTGGTAAGTATGTGCGTGCAAGAGAATTTAATTAGAACTGGGTCAACAGATGGAGGATCGTACAGGGGGAATGTTGTTTTTATCTGGATGATGGTGATCATTATTACTCAGCACTATGGAAGAGAGAGAGAGAGGGAGAGAGAGGGAGGGAGTTATGAGTGGGCAGGACATGTTACATCAGATTGTGCCTTTGTGATGGCAAAGTGGAGGACTCAGTTGATGGGGAGGATGAGAGGAACTGCCTACCTCCCACAGGAGCAGAGTTAAGATCCATCTGGTCCAGTCATGGTTAGAGACATCCTTTTTGGGAAGCAGGCATGTGATCAGGGCTGGACCTGCTGTGAAGTAGAATGAGGTGACCACATCAAGCAAGAGATGGGTGTCAGGAATTGTGGGCTTGGGGAACGGAGGACAGAGCTTTATTCAAAAGAAGGACACCTTCAAAAGGAAACTATTGATTCTCTGTCAGCCTTCCCTAAAAGAGGATATATGGCCAATCTTAATGGTGTTCAGCTAAACACAGTTGCAAAATCTTCTGAAGATGTTCACATTTCAGAAATGAAGGTCTAGGTTAGTTCTGGGTGTGCAGGGAAGGCGTAGGGCTCACATGGATGCCTAGGGCCCCATCACCTATTTAGCACTCCAGAAATTCAGGCGAGTCCATGAATTAAAGTTCCTTCTCAGGCTAAGCTCCACATGCTATGTGACATATCCTGCTTGAGCTATGATTTTCTCTTCCCCCTTCCCCATCTCCCTCTATTCCAGAGGAGGGTCTTTGCTCTTAAAAGACAACAAGGTTGCTTTGTTTCAGAGGGAAATATTGGCATCAGCCCCAGGGGCTACATGACAAAAGGTGGTTGGTCATTGTGACGGACAGCGACAGCTCTCAGAACACTCCTGTCAGTCAGGTCAGAGCTCTGATGTGGGAGCCAATAACATTACAGGAGGGGGCGGAACCAGGCAAATAAAAGGAGAGAAAAAAGACAGTTAAGGACAGTTTAGGCAGTTAGGGCAGTTGGAGAGTTAGAGAGAAGAAGAGAGAGATATATATAGAGAGATTGAAAGAGTTAAGAGGAATAGTTAGGGAAGGATTGAAAACAAGAACTTGGAAAGTTGGTGTGGTTAAGATTCGAAAGAGTTAAAAGTGCTAAGAAATAAATAAATAGTTGAATATAGTAATACCATGATTAAAGTGAATCTACATAAGCAAACATAAATGTAATCAAAGCAACGTTTATTGAATGAATAATAAAAGACCATCCATGATTTTCTTTGTATGATTTACCGACAAACCCATAAATAAACATTGTTATATTGGACAACACTGATCTCATAGTCATAGTTGGTACAGAGAGGAACAAATCCTCTGGTGGCAGCGAAAAAGGGTGAAAAGTACATGTCGCGCCTGAAAGGGAACCTGGATATATAGAAAAACAGACAGGGGAACTGGGTATGTGTGACAGCCGCCTACCTCAGTTAAAATGTCATTTTCCAAACAGCTGTTCAAAGGGCAAAGGTGCTGTCTTATTTTTCATGTGGCCACCCTAGTTGTGGCTCAGTGGCAGAGCTGAGACTCCGAACCAAATGCCCAATGCAGAACCCCATGCAAATGCTTCTGTTCCTTCCAGTCTTTTTCTGAAAGGATCATCTCATCATAAAAACACAATCAGGAGCAGAACCAGCAAAGAAAATGAAGGTGAAAGAGACTGTGTTGGACTGTTGCCCTGGCTTTTTAAAGGAACTGGCTTGAAGTGGGACAGAGAAGCAGGGGAAGACCAGTCAAGCTAGTTTTACTTGCTTGTTTGGCAGGTAACACTTCCCAGATAATGCCCATTATATAATTGGCATTGTATGTACGTATGTGTTGATACTCAAAAGAATGATCAAGCCCTACCTAGGAGAGATTGCACCAGAGGCTTCAGTTCATTTGTTTTCCTGAAGGGAGACAAATGTTGTCGTCTTTTTGGTTTCCAACTGTGTGTCAAAGAAACGTCCTGGTGTTTCTTCCGCACTGGTAGGCGGAAGTTAGACTGAGATGGTTTGTTTTCTGACTAGAATGTCCCGAAAAGGCTCCCCACAAGTTGAAATCAACTTGACGGCACACCATTATTATTAATGATTGAGAGACAGAAGCAGCTAGAGGGTGTGTAAATTACTGTTTCGTAAAGAAAACCGGGGCATAGAGGAGGTAAGCAGGTATGAATCTTTGTGTATGAAAGGAGTGTGTGAGCTTATTTCTGGTACTGGAAATAGATTCCCAGGCTGCTCATATATCTTAGGAGAATCTAGCCCTGACTTTCCTCTAATTCCCAGTTCTGGCATTTTGCACGAGATGGTGGGCCTCCTTAAAAAAAAAAACATCACCACCAAACTATTAGGGCTAAAATATTTAGTTTTTTCCCCTCCTTTTCCCAACATGCTTTAAAAAAATCAACAAAATAAAAGCTCCAAGCCAGCCCAACAAACCTAAAATGTTATCTCCACCTCCACACCATAGCCACTGTTTCTACATTGAAACTCTGCTGCCCCCCTTTGGTCATTTGATGTTCGCATCAGAAGAATTGGCTTGTTGTGACACCCGCAAGATATACCATTACAACCCGTTGGGCTGCATTCACTCACAATCTGATTTAACAGTGCATTTTTATTATTATCAGTTTGAAAGTGCATTGTTTCTACTATACTTGATAAGGTGGGGGGGTAAACCCTCCATGTTTCACTCTGAGATGTACTGAGGAATCTTGTAGGGCTGGAAAGTGTCTTACTGAGAGAAGAACTAATCATTTAACAAGCGTGATCTACATCTTCCCTTTACTCACCGCTCTCCAATAACTTAGACTAGTGCGATGTGTCACAAGCATAAAGCAAAGATCAGAACCAGGAGCAGGGACTCTAATAGGAGTTTAACTAAAATAAAAAGCTCTTTTTTCCAGTAAAAGGTTAAAAACCGAGACACCAAGATAATCGTATTTCGGTTTCCTAGGTTTATCCTGTACACAGGCACATGTTGTCCATCCCTTTCATTTCTCCCTCTGCTTTTTTCCAATGAATTGTTGTTTTTACTAAAATGAAGTGTGGCAGCATATCCCCCTTTTTGAAAGAATATGTCATCTTTTGGCTCTTTGAGGGCAGAGTACAGTTTTTACCTGCTTAAGGAAGCACCCTCTACTTGTTTCTATTTTTTAACTCCTTAAGGAACCACCCTCTATTGGCAACCAATAAAGTTCATCCCCCCCCCCCCCTCAGGGCAGGATGGTAAAAATCACCAGGATTCCACATATTGCTTCTGGGTCTTATTCTGTAAATCTCTGGCTTCAAGGGAATCTCATCCCAGCATCCAGAGTTCAACCAGGCCAGAGGGTTGAGTGTCATCCAGATTAGACTCTTGTGTGGGACCCCAGTAAACACCAGGTATGCTGGAGAGAAATCCACATTAATAAACAATGTATAATTATTCTAAATTGTTTTTCGGCATCCTTGGCGACGTATGCAGAAGAACAGGAAATGTTCATAGGTTCCTTGGCACACCATCTACCAATGGAAGGAGGTCAATGAACCTGGGAAGCTATACATTTTGGCACTGGTTGAGCCAACCAGGGAGTGATTATCCAGATCAGGTCAGTTATAAGTGCACTTTGAGTTTCTAGCATTTCCATCAAGGCAACTTGGAGACCAGTCACAACGCTAAACAAGAGTTGGGTTTTTGTAAACGCTCATAGTGTTGTGAGGTTGAAAAGGATGAGGAAGCGGTGACACAAGGAACTAGAACTTGGAACCAGTTCTTCCTAGACCTAAGTCCTAGCACAATTCAACACCAGTGCCGTCTGGAACTTCAGAACCTGTTTTTTTTTCCTTAAAAAAAGAGAACTTCTTGTATTCTAGAGCTGCCTCTGTCTGGACGTCTGTCATAGGGCAGTTGGGTTGGCTGCTGATGTGTCTCAAGCAGTCTCTCTTTGCGTGTCCTCATCGATACAGAAATACGGGGAAATGTTCCAGCTTCCAGTGACCTCCTTCCAAAGGAAACCCACCCCGTGTACATTTCTACCGAGCACCAAGCTTTCCATGGTTTAGGAAAATGGAGTGAACTCAAGGGTACATTTCAGGACTTGGGGGAGCACCATCTTTCTCACAGTCCAGATAGCTTTGCGGCAAACAGCGGAAAGCCTTTGGAAAATGTATTCTCTGATTTTCTTGGATAGCAGTTCATCTTTGGGACATTCAGACTGTGTGAATCTCAGATCCTTTGGAAACTGAAGAAATCACCTTAGGCAGCTAGGATAAGTCATTCTTCATCCGATCCATTTAAGAGGGTCGCATGATCATTCTTCCAACACTTCTGTTTTAAGGTCCCAAGCCTCAACTCTAGCTCTTGGTTGTTCTTTCTACAGCTCCTGGTACACCTGGGAACAATGGCAAACACAGTTCGTATAATGGTTTACACACTGGTTTAAGCAGGGATAAATATTTCTCTAATGCAGGAAGGAGTAACCCCCGGTCCTCACCAGTTGCACATCCCTCTGCAAGGTGTTGGTTCAAACCTCTATCAAGAAACGTTCGTCCTGTAACTAGTTACAAGTAATGAGTTGCCAAATCTCTTTTTACTATAATTATAGCCTAACTAAATTACATTACAATTGTATCATTAGTGAGGTACAACACAGTTCCTAAGGTGTAACTGGACATGCTTTGTAACAGGACCTGCTTGGATTACTTTCATTGCTACGGGTGTGTGAGAAGACATTGATTACGTATGACTGTACTACAGCCCAGCAGCTAACAGCATGCAGGTATATTTTTAAGTAACTAAAAAGTTAGGTGTAACATTCATAATAATTAATATATTCTTGAAGACTTTCACAGCTAGGATCTGATGGATATCCTGCACACTACACCAGAACACAGACTTAGTTCTGACTCCAGTCCTCTGAAGATGCCGGCCACAGAGACTGGTGAAACATCAGGAAGAAAAATCTCCAGAACACATCCAAACAGCCCAGAAAACCTACAACAACCATTCATAATAATTAGTTTGTGATAATGACTAGGTAACATTATTTTAAAGCTGTAACTATAATTGAAAGCAAGTTGTTGGCAGGGTTCTATAATGTTAACTAGGACAAATTACTTAAATAAAAAACTTTCCAAGCTCTGCTTCCTTCTCTAGCTGTCTGCTTGATGGGAAAGAAGAGGGAGAAAGGGAAGTACATAACAGAAGAGAAGGGGTAGCAATAAGAAAAGGGAAGAGAGCAAGAAAGGGGTGCTCAGCACTGACCAGCTGCCCATTCAGCAATGCAAAATATCCTGAATTGATGTACCCTAGTAGGAAAGTTTTATCATTTTTTCTGGGTGGTGGGTGTCTACCTTATTATGCCATGCTGAGAAAACATGCTATGGACCCAAAGTTCATATGTCTTTGTTTCTCCAGCCACAGAAAAAGTTCTAAGGCAGGTTAAGGTTGGACTGTTGCTGGTGAGCTGCAGGACCACAGAGGCAAAGGCCGGAAAGGGTTAATGAAGCTCATTGGCCTTGCCTTACTCAGAAAATTTAGGAGCTTCACCATAGTAGTCAGATTGGATTCCTGTATTTGCATGCATAGCTTGTTGGTCTGAACAACTGGCCGCACTTGAGTTGTCTAAAAGAGCCCCACTGATTCCTTGTCTTGACTTTGCTGCCCTGAGTCACTATTAACTGCTGGATAGCTCAGTGGCTGCAGAGTCAGAATTTGGGAGTTTGATTCCCCAGTGTCTTCTTGACAGAGGCTGGACTCAATGATCCATAAGGTCCCTTCCAGCCCTGCAGTTCTAAGATCAGTATAAGTACTGGTTGTGAGAATGGCTGATAGTCGGATTCCAAAAGATCTCCTGTATGGAGAATTAGTGCAGGGAAATCACCCCAGAGGGAGACCACAAGGATATCTGCAAGCAGGATTTGAAGGCCTTAGGAATGGATCTCAACAGATGGGAAACCTTGACATCTGAGCATTCAGCCTGGAGGCAGGCGGTGCATCACAGCCTCTCCCAATTTGAAGAGACCCTTGTGCAGCAGGCCGAGGCAAAGAGGCAGTCACGAAAGCAGCAAAATCAGGGAGCTGGAAAGGGGACAGATTGGATTTGTCTTCAGTGTGGAAGAGATGGGCCTTCTCAGCCACACTAGATGCTGTTCCAAGCCCTCCATACAGAGCACGTTACCATAGTCTCTCGAGACTGAAGGATGCCTAAAGATAAGTACTGGGTTCCACACTGCCAATCCCACAGCCGACAGGAACACTGGTCATGCTCGTGAAAGCATTCTGGGGCGCAAGAGCCAAAAACAGAGCTTTTCTATATTCCGTTGGAAACTGACCAATTCACTGAGCTCTTTTCACTCGGTTTGGTGGTTTCGGCAGTGCCTGCACAGATGGGGGCGAGACATTTTCATACCCCAGAAAACTTACCATTGCACCAGTATATAATTCACAGCCATAATGAAGATGGCTAGGGCGTAATGCCAGCAGAAGCACATGGTGATGAACATCATGTTGTCGTGGTCATTTTCGTCCCATTCCGGCCCTCCGAATGGTGGGAACAGCACAAAACCTATCTGGGGAAAGACATGCACACACGTTGAAGCAGATCCAAGGGGGAAACGTTTTGAGTAGGGTGCAAACGGCAAACTTGTGTCCTGGAAGCTGCCCAGCACAAAGCCATGTACCCATTCTCTGTTTATTGGCTGTGTAAAAGCAATGTCGTAATGACATTGATACTCTGACTCAGAGTCAAATGGGAGTATTCCACAACTGAGATGGCCCCCAGGAAGAAATTGCTTTGTCTAACAATTGCTGGGTGAAATGCCATTGGCAGCGACAACCTGGTCTGAAACCACACACTTCAGAAAAACTGGGTGGAATCCACAGCATCTCCTGTTGGTGCACATGATGTGAAGCCCTATTGTTGCCCAATACATTCTTCTTTTAACTACAGTAGGGATTGCTTTCCACTTTATGCCTCTTGAAAGGCTTCCCGGGTGGAACCCATGAGAGGATCTGTCTGAAGTGTGTGATTTTGGCCCCTGTTTCTGGGCAGGCAAGAGGTGTGAGACTTCAGCATGACCCACAAGCCTAATTCACTTTCCTTTTGCATGCTGCTACAAGGCCTTCTGTCTCTCTGGGATCATTAAAATAACAGATCATTTCAAGCTGGGGGAAGGCAAGTGCTCCCTTCCCAGCGGAGTCACCCAATCGGTGAGAGCGCGCCTTGGGATTTCTAAGGCTCAAGGCTAAATCCTGTTGGTTGCTTTAACATAAATTTTCTTGGTTGTTTTAATGGGGGATTGCATTAAAACAGGATGTGTTTTCAGGTGGGTTCATGCCTGTTCGCAGCTAAGGGTGAGTAAATCTGCTTTGTGATGATCAGTTCCCTGCTTTAGGAACCGATTCTTCACATTACAACGTTTTTAAAACAGCTGATTGGTGGCTTCAAAATGGCTTCCCACTGTGTAAAATGGCTCCCTGCTGTGTTTTTGGACGGATTCCTCACTATACAGGAACCTAAAATGGCCGCCCCATGGAGGATCTTTGCTGGACGGTGAGTTTTCAGCCCATTGGAACACATTGAACGGGTTTTCAATGCGTTTCAATGGGATTTTTTATTTCGCTTAACGAGGATTTCGCTCTACAGTGATTTCGCTGGAACGATTATCCTTGTTAAGCGAGACATCACTATTCTTCCAGCCCAGGGAAGAGCCTCACAAGATTATTTTAAGATCCAGGAGTGTATGTATGGAGATAGTTGATTGTCTGCATAAACTAGTCTCAATTTAAAGCCATTTGAAACCATTTAGATGTGGGATGTGGTGGCACTGTGGGTTAAACCACAGAAGCCTCTGTGCTGCAAAGTCAAAAGACTGGCCGTCGTAAGATCGAATCCACATGACGGAGAGAGCACCCATTGCTTCTCCCAGCTCCTGCCAACCTAGCACTTCGAAAGCATGTAAATGCGAGTAGATAAATAGGTACCACCTTGGTGGGAAGGTAATGGCATTCCGTGTCTAGTCACGCTGGCCATGTGACCATGAAAACTGTCTATGGACAAATGCTGGGTCTATGGCTTGGAGACGGGGATGAGCACCGCCCCCTAGACATGACTGGACTAAATGTCAAGGGGAACCTTTACTTAAAACCATTTAGAGCTTTGTTATGTTAATCCCAGAACTTTAAGTTTGGCCTGGAGATAATTACAAAGAGCAAAACAGGGGCAAAATACAGTCATGGATATACTGATAGAACACTAGCCAAAAGATTTTCTTGTTTGTACAAATGATTAGCGGAATTAATGCTCTGTTTGCAGACTTTTTGACTGCTGCCTGTTCTGCTCCTGCACTACAATATAATTCCACCAAGGAGACAATCTGGATGCATTCATGTGGATAATGTCATGAAGATTGCGTTTTTGGGGTATTTTAAATGATCAGTGTGCACTTACACATCACTAAGGGAGGGGGGCACAGACCAATGGGAGTAGCTGAAAGCCATGCCAAGCTGGGCAGAGACAGATTTAGTCTGGGCTAAATCTGAATGCAAGAAGTGAAAATAATGCACTTCTTTGAATGCATCCATTCCATTTTGGAAACAGGACCAGAACATCACAAGAGAAACCTCTCCGGTATGGAGAATCTTATTTTTATGGCACAGCCTAGGGGATTAACCATTTCATGGATCTCTTCAACCCAGAGCAGAACTTTGGCAGATTTGGGTCCCCAACTTGGGAAAAATAGGGGAGGAGCAGAAGATGGCAGATGTCCTCTTGGTTTGAAACACTGCAGAATGCACTCTAATGTATCTTAAAGATGAACTACAGTACTTCTCTGAGTGTTTTCTAGGAGCGCTCATCTTTTCTTTGTTCGGCAAAACCATACTTCTTGGATGGTAGTGAATGTGATAGAGCTGTGGATCCAGTGTGGGGCACCAGGAACTCCAGGGCATGCATTGCTCATGCCTAACCTTGAGTTATCCAATATGCAGCCCAAAACCTTTAGTTTCCTGGAATTTCACCGGGCGTTGCATCAGTTTTTTCGGCATGCTGTGATAAAAAGGAAATCCAAACATAGCCAACCTGCCAAAACCAGGTTCCTTGCAGAATTGTGAGGCTTGCTCGGAAGAGTTCCAAGATGACGTTGTCTCTCAGGAAGACTTCAAGGAAGATGCTGATGGCTACAGCAAAGATGGCCGTCAGGAGCAGAGAATGGATATGCTTATCCAGCATTGGCCGGTTGCTGACGTGGAAGTAGAAAAGGAAGCCTGTGGAAAGGCACGGCCATGTTGAGAACTGCAGCAGCAAAAAATAAGAGCGCTTGATACTTACTAGGAGAGGCCATCAATGCTTTTCCATTCTAATATTTTGGAACACTAAAGGTGCTTTAGTGTCATTTCTGGGTCAAATATGCAGAATTGGTACCTCATTGATGGTGAGTTTCTCAACAGTGTGCCTCATGCCATTCCTTTTAGGTCCCCCAAGTCAGAGGAAATATTATCAGATCTGCTGAATCTAGTCATGAAGGAAATTATTATATTTAAATTACTTATATAAAGCACAGTGAACCTCCCACAGGGTATCGGCAAATTTTGACTTCTTTAGACCAGTGGTCCTCAACTGTGAACCTCCAGATGTTCTTGAACTACAATTCCCAGAAGCCTTCAACACCACCTCTGCTGGCCAGGATTTCTGGGAGTTGAAGTCCAAGAACATCTGGAGGCCCAAGGTTGGGGACCACTGCTTTAGACCATAGATGTACCAAATACAGTGGCTGGAGGAATAGTTGTTCTTGTTGTTTAGTCGTGTCCAACTCTTCGTGACCCCATGGACCAGAGCATGCCAGAAGGAATAGTAGCCAGACTCAAATAATCTCTCTTTCAAATGTTTTATCCTCAACCCATAATATAACACAGAGACAGAGAGATGGATGGGAAGGAGGGACCTATTGAAAGTGTGCCACCATCTTTTCCAGAAGAAAGGATGTTGCCTTTCCTGGATTTCTTGGATTCAGAAGAATCTGTTTCAGAGCAGCTTTCGTTGACCCTATGCCATAGGAGCTTAAGGATGCATTCTACAGAACTAGAGATGGGAAGAAGAGTCAGAGGAAGCTTCCTTGCAATTGTGGTGTTTCTAGGTGCTGAGGGTGCTTTTATAGCTGAACAAATTGACAAATCAAAAATCGCTAAACTTTATTTGTGATTCATTGGGAGCACTGATTCGTATGAATACAAATAGACAAATTTGTTATTTTTGAACAAATTTGGTGATTAATTTTTAATTTGTGCCTATGGCTATACAGAACCAATATATTATAGGTCCATTAAAATAGCCGGGTTTTTTAGGAGCAGAGAAGATCTAGAGAAGAGTGGAACTAACATCAAGACTCGATTGCCTGGCCTTATGGTGGCCAATTGACTTGGCCAAAGTAGCAGCAACGTCTCTTCCATTGATGAGATCTCTACAGCCAATCATGTCATGGTCCTCAGTCCAAGAGACTGACTGCTTTTGTCCTGTTCAAGGCAATCTCTGGAGTGCCTGCCTTGAAGTTACGCTTACTGGACTAGACTCTGTCATAATTAATCTCACTGGCTGCAACTCTGTCTTACTTGCCTTGAACTGACTTATTTCAGGATGTTGAGAATGTCTCAGAACAAGAAGGCGACCAAAGGAGAATTACTAAAGTGAATGACCATAGAGAATCGTAAAATGGAGGAAGCTTCGGTCACGTAATGAGGAACAAAAATTACAACTTGTTACAGATGGTCATGCATACTAAAAGAAATGGGAAGTGGCGTGCAAGAAAAAGAGTAATATCTTGGCAGAAGAAGCCGGGAGACCGATTTGAATGCCACACAGCACAATTGTCTCAAGCTGTCCATCCAAAACCGGAGAAGGTATGATGATGTCCAATCTCTAGTTGGAGAAGAAGGGACAGAAGAAACTAGTTTATGTTAACGCTTTTAACTTTAAATATTGGCTCCAAGTAGCTAACCAGAACATATAATAAAAGTGTTAAAAGAGCAAACAAAAGTTTTTTTTTCTTCTAAAAAGAGAACATTTTGATAAAGAACCTAGCATATTATTTTCCACCGACCACCTGCCTGTGTCAGACTCCAAGGATATGGTAAATCAGAACTCCCAGTGAGGTAAGCTGCATGAAAACGGAGGTAATTTAGTGTGAAATACAAGATTCCATAGGCTTATATGTAATGCCAGCTCGTAAAACAAGTATGGGGACCTTGCCTTATCCCAAAATTCAGTGGAGGGGGACCATGAGGTGCCTATGCTTATACAAAATTCATCCTGCTGAAACTGACTATGGCTGTGAGATCATGCTTTGTGAGGATATCTATAAAGGTCAAGGTGTGAGGACACAAACGCAAACAGAATCTCTAATCAGAATTTCATAAGAAAGATTTAATAAGACTTATTTATAAATGAAAGGGACGTGGTGGCGCTGCGGGCTAAACCGCAGAAGCCTGTGCTGCAGGGTCAGAAGCCCAAGCAGTCGTAAGATCGAATCCACGCGATGGAGTGAGCTCCTGTCACTTGTCCCAGCTCCCGCCAACCTAGCGGTTCAAAAGTATGCAAATGAAAGTAGATAAATAGGTACCAATTCAGTGGGAAGGTAACAGCGTTCCGTGTCTAAGTTGCACTGGCCATGTGACCACGGAAGAGTGTCTTCGGACAAAATGCTGGCTCTGTGGCTTGGAAACGGGGATGAGCACCGCCCCCTAGAGTCGAACACGACTGGACTAAAATTGTCAAGGGGAACCTTTACCTTTACCTTATTTATAAATGTTGTAGCTTTAGGGGTGACAATGGCTGCAGGCTAGTGTGTTAATCCAATCTGTGTGGTACAGGGATAAGCACATAGGAGTTGGACTGGAGGAAGTCTGGGTTGAAGTCCCTGTTCATGAACAGAACTCATCCAGTAGTCTTGGGCATGTCACCTGTCACCACCTTCAAAACCTTGTCAGCTACACATGTAAAAGTTTGGAAAATGCATGCTCTGTCTTTCTTTCTTTCTCTCTGTCTCCTCTTACACTTTTTAAGTGAAGGGGTTGAACACAGATCTATATGGATACAACTGGCCATACTTTTGCAGACTCTGTTTATGAAGGACCTTTGTATGTATACCTGAACATTTAGAAGGCTCTTCTTACTATGCAGGTAACATGCACTTAAATTATTCTGTAGTTTTTACCCTCACTCCCATAAAACTACAAAATGTTATCCCTGAGGTTGAATGCACAACATTAAAGAATTCCATAGGAAACATTATAACCCGTGTAGTGCAGTGGATAGTGATGAGTGAGGACATAGGAAACCTGGGTTCAAATCCTTACTGTGAAAATTCACTGGGGTGTGAGGAGGATAACACTAGTAAAATCACTCCCAAAACATCTCTTTTGCCTTGAAAATCCTATCAGGTTTACCATGAGTTGGATTCAACTTGATGATGCGTAACACCTTCCACAGAAGAAACATACTACACCTTGTCTTAGGCTGTAATGAACTTGCAATATATAAGACAAAGGATTCCAGAAAATGAGGCTCCAAGCCTGCATGGAAATAATGAGGAGAAGACAGGGTATGTGCAGGATCTCCATCAATGGATCTCCTGCTTGGTTCTATCCCAGTGAGAGCAGGCAAGGCTCAGCACTGCTTAAAGAGGGCCCTAGTTACTTTCTGGATGTCAGAGTGACTCAAGTGACATAAACTAGGTGTGACCTCTTCTCACCATTTACGGTGACATGAGAGTAGTCTCTAGTTTTATGTCATGCCAAAGACGCATGGCCAACGGCCTGATCCTTGTCATTAAGCTGCCAGCTACTAATTAGGAGGCTAGTATGTGTATATACCTGCCTTTAACTTTTCCATTTAGGATCTGGTCATTAGACTGTACATATTGAAGGACAGATACTCATCACAATGCTCCCAACAGTCTGGCCCTAAATCATAGTCTAAAAATGCAGACATCTGAGCTTTCTACATGAACAATGTAGAATTGCCAGTTTTAAGTTCTTATCCAGGTTGCTCATAAAGCAAATGGATTTTTATTACTTGCTGAACATCAAACCACTTCAAAATGCTTTGCATTACAGAGCTGATTTACTTCTGTGCAGGTATGCTGATGGCTACAACAGATGCAGAATGTTCCTCACAAACAAGGAGGAACAATAGAACTAACCTGATTTGTTAGTGATGGGAGGGATTAGAGTTTGGGAACAGGTGATGGAGGAGATTTCTGCTATGTCCATGCTACTTGGGGAATTCTACAAGCTGTAGTCCAAAAATATAGCATTCCCATGGTGTGGTATGAATCGGTTTGTGTATGTTCACCTAGAGCAGTGGTTCCCAACCTTAGGTCCCCAGAACCCTTGGACTAAAACTCCCAGAAGCCTTCACCACTAACAGTGCAGTCATCTGGGTGTTGTAGTCCAAGAACATCTGCAGACCCAAGGTTGGGAACCACTGACCTAGAGAAAGCCAAGAGGGAACAAGATTTCCAACCCCACCTGGCTATATATCCTTCTGTTGAGGCCCACTTGTTACTGTTGCTTAGAAACATGAGTCTCTACCTGAATCCTTCTATCTCCACCTACGTACCTTCAACGAAGACTGCAACAGCGAGCATGAGGCGATCCAGTCCCAGAGGTATTTTGGTTGAAGAATAGGTGACTATGTCCATCACGCCCGAGAGGCCAAAGAACAAATACATGGTGGAGTGTTGCCAGTTCATCAACTTCACCCAAGTACGTGGCTCCCCACTGAAGAGGTACATGTGGGGCCCATCAGGTACAAATTGCTCAGCAAGAATTCCTAAGCAAGAGAGGTGAAAAATGAGCAGAGCTATCCAAAAGAAAATTCTTTGAAAGGGGAATGGGGTCAAGGTTAATCAGAAGGCCACGCAAGAACCATGGAACATTAAAGAGCATGGTAGTTTCCTGACCAGTGGAAGCAACTATTCTGTCATTCATTGGAATGCTCAGCTTCCTGTCTGCCCGGTTGCTTTCCAAAGCAGGAAGGTGTCATTTGCTTTATATATATTTTTTTCTAATACAATGGTGCCCCGCATAGTGACGAAAATCTGTTCCGGAAAAATCATCGCTATGCGGATTTGTCGTTATATGAAAAGAAAAAGCCCATAGGAATGCATTAAAACCCGTTTAATGCATTCCTATGGGCAAAAAACTCACCGTTATGCGAAAATCTTCCATACGGCCGCCATTTTCGCTGCCCGGTAAGCGAGGAATGGGCGCGAAAACACAACGGGCGGCCATTTTTTTTACCCAGTGGCCATTTTAGAACCACCAACCAGCTGTTCTAAAAACATCGCTATGCAAAAATCGGTAAGCGAAACAGCTTACCAATCATCGCAAAGCGATTTTTTACCATTAAAAACATCGCAATGCAATCGCTTTTGCGATTGCAAAAAAATCATCGCTATGCGGATTCGTCATTAAACGAAGCGCTCGTTAAGCGAGGCACCACTGTATTTTACTTTATGAAAATGGGTCTCCCTCACTACTGGCTTTTTCAAAATTCACAAAGCCCTGGAGAGAAAGAGTTAAGAGTCTCAATTGAGCAAAGCATGACCAAGATAGACAGTGGTTTTCTATTTCTTGATGTTACGAGCTATCAAATCAGAACTTGACTTATAGTGACCCTGATAGGATGTTCAAGGTTGGTGAGATATTTAAGGAGTGGTTTTACCAGCTCCACAACCCACTTTGAGTTTTCATGGCTAAGTGGGGTGTGGAGCTGGTGCAGAACTCGTAAAACCATTCCTTAAATATCTCACCTACCTTGAAAACCCTATCAGAGTCGCTGTAAGGCAGTTCTGACTTGATGGCACATAACAACAACAAATAAAAATAGTAAACTAGCTGGGTGGATAGCTCCGTGAGATAGGTATCTGGCTGTGGAGTCAGAGGCTGGGAGTCCAATTCTCCACTGAGCATCCCAGGAGAAGAATCCCAGGATGGCCCCTAGAAGAAGATTTTCCACTCAATGGAAACTCAACAGAATGCTGGCCATTATTTTTAAAGCACATACGTCTAGAAACTGTACGCATCTATAATATTTTGCTATGGTAATATTTCTTCTATGAAGATTTGTATGACTTGACAAACCAATCCTGTGCATGTCTTGAGCCAAATGAGCTTGGTCTCTTGAGCAAAATGAGCTGCATAGAGGATTGCAGCCACAATGGATTAATCAACCATGACCAATTAATCAACCTACAAGATTATTGGTCTAGAGGACAAGTTAGATGTCACATCATTCCCATTGTTAGGGCAGCTTACAAAAGTTACAATCCTGGCCATGGGAGTTTTATTCACAAAAAGGTAATTTTTCCAAGTATGATGCCAGACCTAGCTGAAACAATGGCACCCCAGGTATTCAATAAATCCTTAAATTTTGAGCTTTACCTATTGTTGCAAAGATGACTTTGACCACGCCTTCAATGATTTCCACCTGGTCAAAACCCGGGTGCACACGGCCATTTTTGTTCAGTTTCTTGCTGTGGTGCTTCAGTACAGATTTCACAGACCACCAGAGGCCAAAGAGGAGGAAGAAACTGCCTGGAAGGGCATGGCCCTTAAAATTTGCCATTTTGGTCAACTCACAGAACCTACATGAGAGAAAGGGAAACCAGGTGAAAGATTCTAGAACTGACGGACTCTAAAAAATGAATGCCAATGATAACTGAAACTGAGGGGAAACTGGAATACGGCGCGGAAATGACATGGCTCTTCCCCCTTTCCTTTTGTTGGTGGTGAGATCTGAATTAAAAAAAATATATTTTGCTGAAATTTTGTTTTGTCTGGAATACATTCTTTGACTGGATCTTCTGGGTCTTGGCCATAATCTATGGCTTTAGAACAGAGGTCCCCAATCCCCGGTCTGTGGCCCGGTGCTGGTCCATGGCCTGAGCCGGACTAGGCCGTGGAGAGAGACCTCCCGCCCCGTCCTCCTGCACGCACTCACCTCCGCACAGCCTGTTTGTGCCTGCATGTATGCCCGCACAAGTGCTGTGCTGCCCTTTCGGCATGCGCACAAGCAAGCACCTGCACGAGAGCTGCATCGCCCTTTGTGCATGCACACAAGCACACACACACATCTTCACGCATGCACACGAACGCAGGGGGTGCCCCACCTTCCCCAGCCGGTCCACAGGGCTAAAAAAGTTGGGGACCTCTGCTTTAGAACACCACTTGTCCCTTTCAAGTTTTGTTTGCCTTCACTTTTGAGATGGACTGATCACTGCTGAGCCTCTCTAGAAGATCCCTTAAGAACGTCAGACCCTCTCAGCACCCTCAGAAGTACTTATACCCTCAGCAGAGGACAGTCCAGACCCTCTGTTAGGGCTCAGCCACTGTTGAGAAGCTGAGCATGTACAACACACATCATCATCACTATACCTCTAAGTACCAATTATTCTGGCAGTTTGTTATTGTTCTGCGTCATCAAGTAGCTTCTGACTTCTGATGGCCTTAATATTTTTTTCATGGTACTGTAGGTGAAACATTTGAATAGTGACTTTCAATTGGCACATATTTTTTTCATGGTACTGTCGGTGAAACATTTGAATAGTGGCTTTCAATTGGCACCACTATTAAATATGGCTGAGCAGGGATTTGATCTGAGGTCTCCTCCGTTCTAGTCCAACACCCTGTCCATGACATCACACCTGCTCTTACATTTGGTGTTTTGGAGTCTGTAAAAAGACCTGGAAGGTGCTGCAATAAAACAATAATATAATAGCACAATGCTATTTATTTAAATAGAAACATAGCAACATTTATGGATTATACATATAAAAAGGACCCTAGAAAATTGGGGTTCTTGCTTATATATAAAGCTCCACTCAAGCAGGAGATCTCCTTCTCCAGACCCTTCAGGAAACAGGTTATTGGAGGAAAGAGAAGGAATGAAACCTCGTCATTGCAGCTTTTGAGCCTTGTTGTTGTTCAGGCCCTACCAACATGGGTACAGTGCCTGGAAACCTCAGCAGCAAAGGGCCTAGAACAAATTCCCCCATGCCATGTGTAGCGTGAGATGTCAGTTAACCACTGCAGCTGTAGGGAGTGCTTATCTTTGCCTGTCTGGTGGATAAAAAACAACAGGCTCTTCCTTCCCTCTCTCCCTTCCCCCTCCACAGGTTCTAGGCTGCTCTATTATTCTAGGCAGTCGGAATTTGCTCCAATTTGTGCCCATTTCTCTGGATTCTCCTCCTACGAATTTCCAGAATCAGCAGGCTTGGATGGCAGTTTCCAATTCTTTCCAAACCTTTGGCTGCCTCATCTCTGTGACATCACAAGGGTCCAGCTTGCGACATCATGTGTTTCCATCCCTGTGACATCACAAAGACCTACCCCTCAATCCTAGATTTCAGACCTGAGGCAACCCTAGATTGAGAGAGACACTGAGCCCTAGATCATCCAGTGTGCCCCAGGCCAAGTGGGCCCTTGAACCTAGGTCCCCCAAGGCTTGCTATAAGACTCAGACAACTACACTACTCTGTGGGAATGAGGCATTGTGCATTTCTAAATCCATGATTAAGGAACAGTCAAAGCACGAATGCACGGATGTCTAGTGCCTCTTGCCTAGAACCATAACATTATACGCACACATAGCCTTGTACTACCGCTCTCCAAGGCAGCCTGTTCCGCCACCATTAACAAAGGAAACACTTACGTTTGTGCTTTTGGACAGATCCTAGACCCTACCTACATATCTGTGCACTCTGCCAGCTTTCTTCGTGAACAATGAGAGAACAAACTGTTTCTGATGGCTCTTTTGATGCCTCCTCTTCAAAGCACCCTGCTCGTTTCCCATTGTGTTGGCCAACTGTAGCAAGCAGCCGCATTGAGGCCAGACGTGATGATCTGCAATTAAGCATATGGTGCCCTGGGACGTGTGTGCGTGCGTGCGTGCTATTCCTTCTCTTCTCAACAGAGAACAGGTCTTCTTATGAGTAAACATAGCTCAGTCTAAGATAGCCCAGGTGGTTTTTCTGGCTTTTCTTGGCATACCAGACTAGCAAAGACAATCGTGCTGCTCCCTTGGCGTGTGCAAGGACTACATAATCAAAGGATCCGCATTAGTCAGCTCATTTGGAGATTGGTTTCGTTCTTTCCAGGCATGATTTTATTTATAATGCTTGTTTGCATTTCCCAGGCATTTTGTAACATGCCCACACACCCTTTACACAAATGCGCATTCAAAGAAATGGACTTAAGGGGGCGCATTTGCAGGTAAAGAAGACTCTACTTACTCTCACATTTTCCTCTCCCTTCTTGGCATCTTCCTCACAATTAAAAGAAGCTACCATTTTTCTGCATAGGCTTGAAACAAGTGACCCTCTCGGGGTTTCTGAGGCAGAATTCTGAAATTCTGTGAATTTCGTTGTATGTGTATATACTTACAATGACAATAAATTATTATTATTATAACGTACTGGGAGGTGGTTGAGCAATTCCTCCTTCTGGTGGTGCTCTGGGACCACACAGCTTGCTCAAGGCCACACCGGCGGCAGGGGGCATCACCCCACCAGTCCTACACGCTCCGGGTGATCTTGGCGGGTCCCTTTCCCAAGAGGCACAGGAAAGATTCTCGTTTCCAGACCTCAGCTCCTCAGCCCGTCATTTCAACCTGCTGAGCCAGCTCTCCTAAATAACTGCTCATCTCTTAGGCAACGACTGTGAGGAGCATAAATCAAATTTGAGTGTGTACTTCCCTTTCCCCCACCTCCTTCACTTTATTCTGCTAGAAGGATTTCTTTCCTGGCAGGGAAAAACAATTGATGGTTGTACAGTTCTGCACTTCATGGTCACTGTGCTCAAGAGCACACCGAGTTGCCTTTTCGCACGGCTGGTGATTAGTTACCAAGGTGAGTAACAGTAATGAAATACAGGCTCCTCCCTTGCTACCCCCCCACCCCATTAAAGAGTTCCTGGTTTATCTCTAGCAAGATAGCAGACCTGTTTGCTCTTTGCTGGAGTTCCTGTCTGTATATAATGTGGTACCACAGAATAATAGTAAGGATTTTGTCCCTGATTAAAGCCATTTTAGACGTTCGTTCATGGCTGAAATCTTTCTGACACTATCTGACTATTGCTGAGGAACTGACTCCCTCACGCTAGTGCCTGAAATTAACATTTTCTAGTTATCTTCTGAAGAGTAGATCAGTTTGGCCAACGTTCGTAGAATGGTCAGTATTTGACAATCTGTACTAGTTGATGTTCGGATTTGCCAATCTTGGTTTGATGGTCAGGTTGGCAACTTCCTTGTGATGCCAAAAAGGCTGGGCTAGCAAGGGTTGGAAAGGGGTTGAACTGCCTCTGGGCCAGATGATTGTGAAAACAAGCATGAGGGGGATCTGGATTTAAAAAAAACACCAGTGTTGCAGAGTTTTGAATTTATGGTAAAATTCTCTTTTGCTGTGCAGTGGAAGTAAAGTTATCTACAGAGGAGAATAGTTACAAATTCCCCAGAGTCCATCTCTTTTTTCATTAACTGGCACTTAAAGTTTCAGTAACTCACTCTGAGACATTTGTGGGAGAAAATAAAAAAACATTTCTTTACACACAGTTGCTTGAAATTACAGACGCTTGCATATTGCTTTCTTTACTGAACACATTTTAGCATCCAACAAAACAGACCAAAAGCAAACAAGCAACTGCTTCCAATATATGCAAAAGAGGGAGAATAGCACTCAGCAGAGAGGCAGGGCTCTCTTTGAATTCAGAGACAGAGGAGGAATGATTGGTCAGTGCTGGATAGACAGGTAATCAAACCACTCCATTACAAAAAAAGTCAGCCTAGTCACACAAACTACAGATAGCATGCCGGGTTGCAAACAAAACTCCAGCACCCAGAAGCTGGGTAAAGTCCCACTAATCAGGAAATACAGCTGGGAAAGCTTGTGCTACAAGAAGCCTCATGAGTTGCAACGCTGGTGCTTTACTCCCCACCTGGTTCCAACTGGCAACATGGGGAGGCTATGAACTTACGTCTATGAACTTACTGGCTCTCTCCTGAGCCCCCTCCTTCAGCTCCTGCCTTTTTTGCTGTACTGAGCTGTATAAGGGCAACACAGGTGGGAAAAAAACCCTCCATACTAAGCCAGTGAGCATTGTGTCATCTGGAAATGAATGGAGATGACTCCCCAGGCTTTGAAACTCACAAACAGAAAGCAAACTGCCCAGTGCTCACAGTGAGATGTATCTCCCTGCTTTGAAACCCAAAGAAGCACAGAAGTTCCTTAAGTTTTCAATCGGTGCCCTAAGACTCTAGTCCTGGCCTCTCTGCTGAGGAAGACAAGGTCTCCAGACTGCAGCACACACCTCAGGTACCAGAGAGGCCATCACTCCTCCTGTTATACCTCTGTGTGGAGGGATGGAAGAAGGGAATGGTTATCCACTCCTCAATACTGTATACAGGTACCCCCAAAAAACCTGGTTATTTACTAATTACCCAGTGGAATGCTTGCTGGGGGGATTCTGGGAATTTTTCTCTCCAGAAAATTAGGCTGTTGGGAAAGAAGGATGAGGAATATTTCATAGCTGAATGAAGACTTCAGTCTGCCAAGTACTTTGGACTACTCCAAGCAAAGTAATCTAACCATTACAGTACATTACAATGGATCAGATGTTCTAGCTTACTTCTCTTCCCTGGCCTATCAAACATAGCCAGTTGTAAGCAGCTACGTGGACTGTAGGCAAAACCAGAATACTGACTCAGACTGGATAGCTCAGCAGTTTAGGTGTCTGGCTGTGGAGTCAGAAGTTGGGAGTTTGATTCTGCACTGGACCTCCTTGACAGGGGCTGAACTTGACGGTCCATAGGGTCTCTTCCAGCTCTGCTATTCTAAGATTATTATTATTACCATATTTTTCGCACCATAAGACACATTTTTTTCCCACAAAACAGGGGGGTGGAAAGTCTGTGCGTCTTATGGAGCGAAGAAAACAGATTATATTTTCCTGTTTTCTTCTCCTAAAAAATTGGTGCGTCTTATGGAAAGATGCGTCTTATGGAGCGAAAAATACGGTAATTCAGGATGACTGTTACGTTTCTGAACCATTTCTTTGCTGTATGCTGTTTTTGACCTCCTGCTACTGCTACCTGTGTTCCTCTGTACCAGGGTGTGCACTCATTTAATCATTAACTTGCCCTCTTTGTCCTCTAGTGCTACAGATGCAGCTCACCGTTTCAGCTTATTAAAAATGTTTAATTTCTTATCCGGTTGCGGATGGGCCATTCTGCAGATTTGTCATTCATAAGGTTGCCAGACGTCAAGGGTAACCCAACGACACATAACGACGACAACGATATTCCATTTGCATTACCTACAGCCTTTCAAAATTGCTCGTAGCCTTTTAAAAATGATCAAGTAGCTTTGGGTGTGGCTACATTAGTGATGGGGGTTGAGCTTGAGTTGTTGTGTGCTATAAAGTTGGACCGACTTTTAGTTACCCGAACAGGTAAATGATTTTGTTTAGGGAGTGGTTTTACAAGCTTCGCAACCCCAGTAGGTTTTTATGGCTGAGCAGGGATTTGAATCCAGCCCTCCTGAGCCCTAATCTATGCACTCTATCCATTGCACCACACTGGATCAGGCTTGAGTAGGGAGAACTGAATGTTCACATGGGTCCTGCAAGAAACTTTCTCTGCCTCAGCTGGGAGTCTCGGCACCTTCTTCAGACGGTGTGGAGAGCAAGTCACTCTTTCTGGTTCTAGCCCTTGATCAGTCATACAGCAGAAGCTCCTAAGCAGAGCCAGAGAAGTGCAGGCGATCTGCTTGTGCGCGTTTTCCAACAAAATACGCTGCAGATGGGAAATTCTCTCCCCTCCCCAACAGATACTGGGGGAAAATATTGCTGCTCTTCTGAGAGGAATGGGAAAAAAATATGGAAGGCAGAGGATAGGGCATGGATTTTATCAAATTGGACATTGTCTTGTGTGATCAGCAGAAGGAAAGAACAAACACATGACCCGCCCTGGACCGTGTGTTTTTGTCTCAGTTGCTTACATTATTATCCTATCACTATGTACGCCTATGCTTTGCTTTTCTACCAGTGTTTTCTCACCTTGGATCCCAAGATGTTCTTGGACTAGAACTCCCAGAACTGCTGGCCAGCACAGTTAGTGGTGAAGACTTCTGGGGAGGTTTAGTCCAAGAACATCTGGAAATTCAAGGTCGGGAGCCATTGTGCAAGAGCAGGGGTTCGCAACCTTGAGTCACCAAGTGCTCTTGGACTACCAATTCCAGAAATCCTGACCAGCCAAGCTGATGGTGAAAGCTTCTGGGAATTGCAGAAGACCTGGGGGATCCAGGCTTGCGAACCACAGTACTGTATATTCCAACAACCTCTACAAGACTTCTTACCTCCAACACAAAGCTCAAGACACAAAACTTTTCTCCTCTTTGTGTAGCCCAGTTTGTACAAAATGGCTCAGCACAAAACTAATGCCTTTTCCTTGGGTGAAGCCAAGCACACCGACATGTCCCCCCCCAAAGCAAGTGCAAAAGGATCTGCTGATTGATCACTAGGATACAAACAAACCATCCGGGGCTATTGTGCCCTCTTGTCCATGCAAAAACACAGTGATTGCATTCTGTGATGCCTTGCATTTTACAGAAAGGTACAACAGTCCGTTTGAAAAAAAAAACCCACCCTCTCCCTCCTCTCCCTTCCTCTTTCTGTGTGTGCCTGTGCGCACGCACACACACACATGAGGAAGTTCCTGTTTGGCTCCAAGAATACGTTTTGTTTGTTCTATATTTTCATATTCTACACAAGGACAAACCAAATCTTAGTTTTTTGTGCCTCACTTGCACTGTGTGTTTCCTAGAAAACAAATTGATTTTACTGTCTAAAATGTTACTATTCTATCAGATCTTTTTTTTTTTGTAGTGTGTGTTCTGATTTCTCTCTCTCCCCCCCCACAATACACCATATGGCATCTGGCCAGACACTGTGGTGTGGTATAAAGGCAACAATAAACCAATAATTTTTTTTAAATTAAATTATTTCTAAAGAATGAAAAGACAATCAACCATATTACAAAGAGTAAATACAAAGCTATTCCCCACAATTCTCCAAATCACATATATAC